CTGAAGACTTACGTCTATCTTCTGTCCGTACTCCCACCTCTGATGCTCGCCTTCAAGATTTCTTGAGGGATGCACTATTCCTGTGGAACTCGCTTCCCTCCTCCGTTAGATGCTCACCCAGTCTCCACTCCTTCAAAAAAAATCTTTAAAAACCCACTTCTTCATAAAAGCGTATCAATTAAACTGTTAATAGCGCCTGACTGATTCCTCTTCTGCAACTGTCACTAGTCTAATACTATCCTTACCTTTTTGTGTCATTTTACCCCACTCCCTCTAACATGTAAGCTCATTGAGCAGGGCCCTCAACCCCTCTGTTCCTGTGTGTCCAACTTGTCTGGTTACAACTACATGTCTGTTCGTCCACCCATTGTAAAGCGCTGCGGAATTAATAATAATAATAATAATAATAATAATTTTCACTTACAAAAGTATGCCCAGAATGCCGATTGTATATAAAAGATACAAAAAATGGCAGAGCGAGTATATATGGGCTACCCTAGACATAACGTCATTATACACAATCATTGACCATGATATTGGGGTAAAGGCGGTTAGGAATAATCTGATTAATGATGAACAAATAGACTCAGATTTTGGTACTTTTCTTGTTAGATCCATTCAGTACATTTTAACTCACAACTTTTTTAATTTCAATGAGGAATTCTTTTTACAAATTAAGGGTATTACCAAATATTTTTATGGATAATTGGGAAAGAGCGTCCATTTAGGCGAACAACCCATTCGGTGCAAACTTGGTGCTCTGGAGGCAGTACATAGACGATATTTTAAATACATGGTGGGGCTCTTCGGATAGCCTTAATGGTTTTTTTAATTTTGTCAATCAAAATTCTATGTTGCTGCTTTTTACTCCAACAGTTGGTCCCACTCAGATAGACTTTTTGGACTTAAACATTTACATAGAAAATGGCACAATTAAGACGAGAACCTTTTTTGAATCAATCAACTCTAATAGTTTTATTGACATCAGGAGTGGTCCATTCTACGAGACCTTTGGTACAAAACCGGAAAGAGGGGTTCTTCTCTTGTGGCAGCTGTAAAAGCTGTAACCACAAATATAATGTTACCAAATAAAATTCCAAAGTCACCAAACGAAGGAGAAATTTAGAATTAAAAATTTAATTTCCTGCTCCTCTACTCATGTTGACTACCTACTGGAATGTGGGTGCGGCATGCAGTATGTCGGAAGGACAAGTAGGAAAGTTAAAACTAGATTTTTAGAACATAAAAATAACATTAGGAAAGGGTTGCAGAGCCACTCGGTTACTGTTCATTGTTCTAAATGCCCCAAATTCTATATGAACACTTTAGGATGTATTGCCATTGAACAAGTTTCTCTAGACCACAGAGGTGGAGACTTGGTGAAGAAACTGAGAGAGAGAGAAGGTTTTTGGATCCACAGGTTGCAGACTTTGCAACCTAGGGGCCATAATGTAGATTTTGATTTGGTATGTTTTTTGTAAAAAAAAAATAATTTTTTATATTCTTTCTGCTCAACTTGCTGAATTATCTAAGCTAATTTGGGAATTAACTTTTTACTTTCCCATTGTGATTATCATTTTCACTGCTAATATTATATATTGGTTTTACTCTCTCTCTCTCAGTCATTTTTGGGTGCAGTCTCTTTGAACTCCATTACACCATGTATGGGTGCACTTGATGTTACTACTATGTATCAATTTGAAGGCTACTATGTATCAATTCTCTGTTCTCTCATTATATATTTTTCCTTGGTTTAACTTTTCTGGTTGGACATTTACTTCCGGGATGCGTTTGGAATGCATCCTTGAGCATGGAACGCAAGGCTTGATGACGTCACATATGCGACGGATGGAAATGCGAACATGTAAACAAGGCTTGGGATAAGGAACCAGGACACTATTGAACGCACCTGCGAAAGCTCCTCTCGGATAGGTGGGAGGGAATACGCAGGAAATGTTTATTGTATTTATATGCTCCATGTTTTGTGTACCGATCAGCTGCACACTGGGAGACTTGTTTTTACTGTTTTTTCCCCTGAAGAAGTAGGGCTGGTATCCTAGTGCTAAGAGTTTCTTTTACTTTATTTTAATTTTATTTTATTGTATTCATCTTTTTTGATGCTCCTTGAGGATCCTATCAGTGTGTATCATCTCTGAAGGTGTTCCTGTTTGCTGCTATCGAGATGTCAATTTGTGATGTGCCTATTTAATACCTCTATCTTGTAAGTGCAATATTTATTAAAGATTTATGCTGTTTTAGAAACTCTGCACTATTATTTCTCAATTTTTCTCTCCTATATGCTGGAATACGAATACGAGGATATTCTTCATTTTATTAGATACGCCTTCAATCAATATGGGTTTGTGAGTGTGCATTTCACCCATTTTATATTGCCCTAAGGAACGGCAATATTGCCCTATGTCTTTCTCTTTTTTTTTGCATTGTAGTTACCAGTTTGTCAGTATTTTGTATTCCAAACACCTTGATAACACAGATACACACACTGACACTTACACACACACTGACACACAGAGACACACACGGACACATACAAATACTCTGGCACGCAGATACACACATACAAACACCCTAACACACAGATGCACACATACAGACACCCTGACACACAGATACAGACACTGACAAAAACACACCTTGACATACAGATAGGTAAAAAAACAGGACATACTCTGCAAAATAGGGGATCACCAGCAACTAAAGGTACCCACCGAGCAGGAGGGCAGCAAGGTAAACTAGGGGCTAATAGGGCACCAACTGGTTGGCATTGCATAAATAAAGAATAATGACTAAAAAGAGAGTGCAAGGTAAGTGACTGTCACACCGTCTCCCAGAACGGCTGGCTTTTCTATGAAGGTAAAAGTCCCTGATATAAAACAGGAAAGGATTTGCAGGAAGCAATTGCTTGTTTTGTTTAGAAAGAAGGAAGGTGATATGTTGATTTTCAGATAAATACAATGGGAACCACATACTATGTACATAAAGAGAGTGATTTTTCTGAATAATGTTAAATTCATAATCTGTGAGTAGGAATTAATAGCTTGAACCACATGCAAATGGTCCTTAACCCCTTCACCTACATTAATATGAAGCATACAACGTATAAAACATCTATTTTCATGATATTTAAATAAGAATATCGACAAATATCAATTCATTTTTTTTCAGAATTCTTAACAGAAATATTGGGAATTAAATGTTTTTTAGGAATTAGATGATAAGTCCTTATTGTGTTAAATTTCAAATTAGGTTAATAGTAACGCAGCCATAGAAATAAAATGCGGAGTGAGCCTGGATGCCATCAGGGCCGGACTGGGGATACAAAGCAGCCCTTGAAAAGAATTTGTGCCAGCCCCATAAGTCACTGTGCGTGTAATATGTAAGGCTATGTCTTGCCAGGACAGATGATTCAGTAATATATATATATATATATTGCTTTTTCTTGCTTTTTATTGCTATGCTTACTGTATAATTAAACGTTTTACCCTGAAAGGATCAAAAATATTGGTCCTTTCAGGGTAAAACGTTTAATTATACAGTAAGAATACTCACATGCAGACACAGGCAATTTCACTGACATCTCAATGACACACACAAGCTCATTGATACACAGCCTCATAGACAAACAATCTCACTGATATACATCAGCTCATTGACATAAAAACACAAACTCACTCACTAGCAGGCACACGCATGCAAGCAAGCTCACTCACTAGCAGACGCACACACACAGCTTAATGTAGTGGTACTGGTGTCTATAGCATGTCCCTACAGGCTTTTCAATGTAAACACTGACTTTTCAGAGAAAAGGCAGTGTTTACATTGCTTCAAAGTGACACTGCTAGTGACAGTCACTCAGACGGTCACTAGAGGTGCTTCCTGTGTTAGTGCACCTACATTCAGGGCCTCCACACTCTGTAGGTGCTGAACGTTCCCCATAGAGATACATTGATTCAATGCATCTCTATGAGGAGATGCTGATTGGAGTGGTGTTTTGCAGCCAGTCCTATGGCAAAGCATTGGATTGGCTGAGATCATCAAGCTTGATGATCTCAGCTATAGAGGCAGGGCCAGTCGAGGGGAGACCAGCACGCTGTGTGGGGAAAAAAAAAGGTGAGCAAAAACACCATTTTTAAACACACATTTACACCATGACAGACACAGAAACACACATATACCATGACAGATACACACCCTATGACAGACACACACACCATGACACACCATGACACACACACCATGACGGACAGACAGACACACACACCCCATGACGGACAGACAGACACACACACCCCATAACGGACAGAGACAAACACAAACACCCCATGACGGACAGAGACACACACACCCCATGACGGACAGACACACACACAACCCCCATGACGGACAGACACACACACACACCCCATGATGGACAGACAGACACACAGACACACACACACACACCATGACAGACAGACACAAACACACCCCATGACGGACAGACAGACAGACACACACAAACACCCCATGACGGACAGACACACACACACCATGATGCACAGACACACACACACCCCCCATGACGGACAGACAGACACACACACACCCCATGATTGACAGATAGACACACACACCCCATGACGGACAGACAGACACACACACACACACCATGACAGACAGACACAAACACACCCCATGACGGACAGACAGACAGACACACACAAACACCCCATGACGGACAGACACACACACACACCCCATGATGGACAGACAGACACACACACACACACCATACATACAGACACCATGACAGACAGACAGAAACACCATACATACAGACAGACAGACACCATAATACAGACAGACAGACACACCATACAGACAGACAGACACCATACAGACAGACAGACACCATGACACAGACAGACATACATACAGACACACCATACAGACAGACAGACACCATAACACAGACAGACAGACACATTACTAATACCTGCCAGGGGGAGGTCTTCTGGAGGCCGCTCGGGAGGTCTTTTGGGGCCGCTGGGGGACTTGTACTGGTGGCCGCTGGGGAGGTCTTCTGGGGGCTTCTGGCGGCCGCTGGGGGACTTGTCCTGGCGGCCGCTGGGGGAGCTGCGCTGGCTCTGCTCTCCCGCCCTCGCGCGCTGCTGAATGAGACCGGCGCCGGTCTCATTCAGCAGCGCGCTGGGGAGCAGAGCCAGCGCAGCTCCCCCCGCGGCCACCAGGACAAGTCCCCCAGTGGCTGCCAGAAGCCCCCAGAAGACCTCCCCAGCGGCCGCCAGTACAAGTCCCTCAGCGGCCGCCAGAAGCCCCCAGAAGACCTCCCCAGCAGCCACCAGCAGACCCAGGTATCTGCCTGGCCCCAGGTGCCGACGGCCCACCGGGAAATTTCCCGGTATCCCGGTGGGCCAGTCCGGCCCTGGATGCCATACGGATTGGGCGCACACTGCTTGAGCCTTGACCTAAAACTGCTTAAAAGTCTTTGAGTGGAAAATACCCTGTTTTCAGATGCACCCGTCATAGCACCCTAGCTTGGTACCCCTCGGGTGGCTCTGGAACGAATTCCGGGTCTCCTCAAGGTAACTGCGGCCTCCAGCAACTTGCGGCCTCACTAGGCCCCGGCGGGAGAAGCAGCCAATCTCTCTGTATGATGTGGCCCAGGCTTCCTTCCTTATGGCAATCAGAGCCCCGGATTCTCCCCTTCTGGGTTGGTGTGGGTTATCCCGGTCCCCACCAGGTCCTGCTTACTTACCATAGGGTGACACCTGAGTGTCTCTGAAACGGAACTCTCCCACGTGGCCTCTCTAAAATGGCCGATGGCGGTGATACCTTGCAGCATGCCATACAAGCCCCGTTGCTGACTTGGGAGAGAGGTTCTCTCAGGTGTTTGATGTTCTGTCAAAGGTTTTGGAGTAACCTGAGCAAACGCAGTCAGCAACCCACACTGTTGGTCCCCAGGGCTTAACCTGAACATGGAGTCCTAGCTCAGAAATTCCCTTCTCGACGGAGATCTAAGCGGAGTCAGAGGATTCAGTGAGCAGCTGGGAAACCACTTATTCATGCAAACCAAGGCACCCTGCAGTCTCAAGAACTCTGCCTGGATGAGGGAGGCAAGGCTTGTGGTCATGGGAGCTGCGGTGTTAGCTCTAACCATGGATCTCATGGAATCTCCGGCTCTCTCTCAGATATGCCTGGTCTACAAGCCAAAGGCATTGGCTGAACAGAGCTTCATACAGACAGACAGACACCATGACACAGACAGACATACATACAGACACACCATACAGACAGACAGACACCATAACACAGACAGACAGACACATTACTAATACCTGCCAGGGGGAGGTCTTCTGGAGGCCGCTGGGGAGGTCTTTTGGGGCCGCTGGGGGACTTGTACTGGTGGCCGCTGGGGAGGTCTTCTGGGGGCTTCTGGCGGCCGCTGGGGGACTTGTCCTGGCGGCCGCTGGGGGAGCTGCGCTGGCTCTGCTCTCCCGCCCTCGCGCGCTGCTGAATGAGACCAGCGCCGGTCTCATTCAGCAGCGCGCTGGGGAGCAGAGCCAGCGCAGCTCCCCCCGCGGCCACCAGGACAAGTCCCCCAGTGGCTGCCAGAAGCCCCCAGAAGACCTCCCCAGCGGCCGCCAGTACAAGTCCCTCAGCGGCCGCCAGAAGCCCCCAGAAGACCTCCCCAGCAGCCACCAGCAGACCCAGGTATCTGCCTGGCCCCAGGTGCCGACGGCCCACCGGGAAATTTCCCGGTATCCCGGTGGGCCAGTCCGGCCCTGGATGCCATACGGATTGGGCGCACACTGCTTGAGCCTTGACCTAAAACTGCTTAAAAGTCTTTGAGTGGAAAATACCCTGTTTTCAGATGCACCCGTCATAGCACCCTAGCTTGGTACCCCTCGGGTGGCTCTGGAGCGAATTCCGGGTCTCCTCAAGGTAACTGCGGCCTCCAGCAACTTGCGGCCTCACGAGGCCCCGGCGGGAGAAGCAGCCAATCTCTCTGTATGATGTGGCCCAGGCTTCCTTCCTTATGGCAATCAGAGCCCCGGATTCTCCCCTTCTGGGTTGGTGTGGGTTATCCCGGTCCCCACCAGGTCCTGCTTACTTACCATAGGGTGACACCTGAGTGTCTCTGAAACGGAACTCTCCCACGTGGCCTCTCTAAAATGGCCGATGGCGGTGATACCTTGCAGCATGCCATACAAGCCCCGTTGCTGACTTGGGAGAGAGGTTCTCTCAGGTGTTTGATGTTCTGTCAAAGGTTTTGGAGTAACCTGAGCAAACGCAGTCAGCAACCCACACTGTTGGTCCCCAGGGCTTAACCTGAACATGGAGTCCCAGCTCAGAAATTCCCTTCTCGACGGAGATCTAAGCGGAGTCAGAGGATTCAGTGAGCAGCTGGGAAACCACTTATTCGTGCAAACCAAGGCACCCTGCAGTCTCAAGAACTCTGCCTGGATGAGGGAGGCAAGGCTTGTGGTCATGGGAGCTGCGGTGTTAGCTCTAACCATGGATCTCATGGAATCTCCGGCTCTCTCTCAGATATGCCTGGTCTACAAGCCAAAGGCATTGGCTGAACAGAGCTTCATACAGACAGACAGACACCATGACACAGACAGACATACATACAGACACACCATACAGACAGACAGACACCATAACACAGACAGACAGATACATTACTAATACCTGCCAGGGGGAGGTCTTCTGGAGGCCACTGGGGAGGTCTTTTGGGGCCGCTGGGGGACTTGTACTGGTGGCCGCTGGGGAGGTCTTCTGGGGGCTTCTGGCGGCCGCTGGGGGACTTGTCCTGGCGGCCGCTGGGGGAGCTGCGCTGGCTCTGCTCTCCCGCCCTCGCGCGCTGCTGAATGAGACCGGCACCGGACTCATTCAGCAGCGCACTGGGGGGCGCAGCCAGCGCAGCTCCCCCCGCGGCCACCAGGACAAGTCCCCCAGCGGCTGCCAGAAGCCCCCAGAAGACCTCCCCAGCAGCCGCCAGTACAAGTCCCTCAGCGGCCGCCAGAAGCCCCCAGAAGACCTCCCCAGCAGCCACCAGCAGACCCAGGTATCTGCCTGGCCCCAGGTGCTGACGGCCCACCGGGAAATTTCCCGGTATCCTGGTGGGCCAGTCCGGCCCTGGATGCCATACGGATTGGGCGCACACTGCTTGAGCCCTGACCTAAAACTGCTTAAAAGTCTTTGAGTGGAAAATACCCTGTTTTCAGATGCACCCGTCATAGCACCCTAGCTTGGTACCCCTCGGGTGGCTCTGGAGCGAATTCTGGGTCTCCTCAAGGTAACTGCGGCCTCCAGCAACTTGCGGCCTCACGAGGCCCCGGCGGGAGAAGCAGCCAATCTCTCTGTATGATGTGGCCCAGGCTTCCTTCCTTATGGCAATCAGAGCCCCGGATTCCCCCCTTCTGGGTTGGTGTGGGTTATCCCGGTCCCCACCAGGTCCTGCTTACTTACCATAGGGTGACACCTGAGTGTCTCTGAAACGGAACTCTCCCACGTGGCCTCTCTAAAATGGCCGATGGCGGTGATACCTTGCAGCATGCCATACAAGCCCCGTTGCTGACTTGGGAGAGAGGTTCTCTCAGGTGTTTGATGTTCTGTCAAAGGTTTTGGAGTAACCTGAGCAAACGCAGTCAGCAACCCACACTGTTGGTCCCCAGGGCTCAACCTGAACATGGAGTCCCAGCTCAGAAATTCCCTTCTCGACGGAGATCTAAGCGGAGTCAGAGGATTCAGTGAGCAGCTGGGAAACCACTTATTCGTGCAAACCAAGGCACCCTGCAGTCTCAAGAACTCTGCCTGGATGAGGGAGGCAAGGCTTGTGGTCATGGGAGCTGCGGTGTTAGCTCTAACCATGGATCTCATGGAATCTCCGGCTCTCTCTCAGATATGCCTGGTCTACAAGCCAAAGGCATTGGCTGAACAGAGCTTCATACAGACAGACAGACACCATGACACAGACAGACATACATACAGACACACCATACAGACAGACAGACACCATAACACAGACAGACAGACACATTACTAATACCTGCCAGGGGGAGGTCTTCTGGAGGCCGCTGGGGAGGTCTTTTGGGGCCGCTGGGGGACTTGTACTGGTGGCCGCTGGGGAGGTCTTCTGGGGGCTTCTGGCGGCCGCTGGGGGACTTGTCCTGGCGGCCGCTGGGGGAGCTGCGCTGGCTCTGCTCTCCCGCCCTCGCGCGCTGCTGAATGAGACCAGCGCCGGTCTCATTCAGCAGCGCGCTGGGGAGCAGAGCCAGCGCAGCTCCCCCCGCGGCCACCAGGACAAGTCCCCCAGTGGCTGCCAGAAGCCCCCAGAAGACCTCCCCAGCGGCCGCCAGTACAAGTCCCTCAGCGGCCGCCAGAAGCCCCCAGAAGACCTCCCCAGCAGCCACCAGCAGACCCAGGTATCTGCCTGGCCCCAGGTGCCGACGGCCCACCGGGAAATTTCCCGGTATCCCGGTGGGCCAGTCCGGCCCTGGATGCCATACGGATTGGGCGCACACTGCTTGAGCCTTGACCTAAAACTGCTTAAAAGTCTTTGAGTGGAAAATACCCTGTTTTCAGATGCACCCGTCATAGCACCCTAGCTTGGTACCCCTCGGGTGGCTCTGGAGCGAATTCCGGGTCTCCTCAAGGTAACTGCGGCCTCCAGCAACTTGCGGCCTCACGAGGCCCCGGCGGGAGAAGCAGCCAATCTCTCTGTATGATGTGGCCCAGGCTTCCTTCCTTATGGCAATCAGAGCCCCGGATTCTCCCCTTCTGGGTTGGTGTGGGTTATCCCGGTCCCCACCAGGTCCTGCTTACTTACCATAGGGTGACACCTGAGTGTCTCTGAAACGGAACTCTCCCACGTGGCCTCTCTAAAATGGCCGATGGCGGTGATACCTTGCAGCATGCCATACAAGCCCCGTTGCTGACTTGGGAGAGAGGTTCTCTCAGGTGTTTGATGTTCTGTCAAAGGTTTTGGAGTAACCTGAGCAAACGCAGTCAGCAACCCACACTGTTGGTCCCCAGGGCTTAACCTGAACATGGAGTCCTAGCTCAGAAATTCCCTTCTCGACGGAGATCTAAGCGGAGTCAGAGGATTCAGTGAGCAGCTGGGAAACCACTTATTCATGCAAACCAAGGCACCCTGCAGTCTCAAGAACTCTGCCTGGATGAGGGAGGCAAGGCTTGTGGTCATGGGAGCTGCGGTGTTAGCTCTAACCATGGATCTCATGGAATCTCCGGCTCTCTCTCAGATATGCCTGGTCTACAAGCCAAAGGCATTGGCTGAACAGAGCTTCATACGTCACTACTTCTGCCTGGTTTGGCATCATTGCTCATACCAGTGTTACCCGTCTCCTCTCCCTCTGTGAGCACAGTTTGCAAGCATTTGGTGGTCTTATTCCTGTAATTCTACCCTCCATATGATTTATTATGCTTTCTTCTTTTTAGCTTTTAGTTAGATGTCTGGCACTTCTGTACTACAGGCACTCTGAGGCCCATGGAACAGCAAGCTAGGTGGAATGGGCCTTGACAGAGCTAGGAGGCAGGCCTATGGATGAGGTGTGGTTTGATTGGTAGAGGTCAGTTAGGGGAGTGGCCTAAGTTTCCCATATAAAAATCGGCCATTTTAATTCAGGTTCCATTTTAATTTTAAATTCCTTACCTGCGGGTAGCTGTTGCTGTCTTCCTGGTGGGGTTTTTTTTCTTCTTATTTCTTTCAGATGGATTCCTTGGCAGCTGAGAGGGATATGGCAGCGATCTTGGACGGTGTCAGGGCAGCAGTTCGTCAGCACGGAGGGGCATGGATGGAGCAGCGGCTGGGAGCAGCACTGAATATGGCGGGACTGTCTGTCTGTGGCGCCGGCGTGCAGGACATCCCGGCGGACTAGGCTGCCGCAACGTCTAAGCCCAGAGTCCAGTGCTGGCATGGTGCGGGGTCGAAGCCCGTCAGCGGGCATGCCAGGGGCCAGCGGTATTGACCGGGCTCGGACCCGAGGTGGTCGCTGCTCGGGGGCGGCCGCACACCACAGACGAGGTGTGCGGCCTGGACAGTATGGTGCCACCCGGCGGCCAGCAGGAGTTCCAGTTCACCGGCTGCAGTAGGCCCCTCAACTGCAGCGGGCGCTGCTGGGAGCAGGGATCAGCCATCTTGGCGGAGCACACCCGGTGAGTCACCCCCTGGGGCTGTTAAGGCAAAAAGGGGAAGAAAGCAGGGGTTGGTGAGCGAGGCCCCCTCGATCCAGTCAGGTTCCGCTGAGGATGGGGCAGCCAGTAAGGGCTTGGGCAACAGGGAAGTCATAGCACCTGCAAGTTGTTCCAGGGTAGGTGGTGAGGCATCCCGAGCACTCAGCAAGGTACGGCATGGGCGGGCTAGGCCGCAGGCACCCCCTTCCAAAGTGCAGCAGCCACAGGTGACAGGCCAGAGTGACAGGCCAGAGCACAGGGTGCTGGTGACAGGTGGCGGCGTCACAGCAGGGAGCAGCATGGCCCCTTCCCGGATTGGCACGGGTACTGGGCGCTGTAGGCCAACAGACCAGCGGGTGGGCGGGGACAGCCGCACTCAGGATAGGGATGCCAGGCCCCCAAGGCGGCGTAGTGCCAGCGGGGGGGACAGGAGGGCATCTAGCCATCACTCCAGGAGTAATCGGCGGAGCAGGCAGCGCAGTAGCAGCGGGGAGTCTGTGGCTGGGTGCTGCTGTGACTCACCCGTTAGGGGATCATCCTCACAGGGGAGTGCCACCAGGTCAGTTAGCGGGGGCTCCCCCGACAGGCTGTGCAGAAGATTTTCAGGTGATAGTTACGGCCGCAAGGGTCAGGATGCCGGGAGTCGCAGGCCGCATAGGGAATCACCGGGTGAGGTCAGGGGGGATCAGTGTTCTGATGGCGGCCTCCCCAGGTTTGCTTCTTCTGTTCACAGGTCATTGGATGTCGGGTCGGCGGGCCGAAGGAGGCCTCAGGACGGCGGGGATTTCCAAACAGCTTCGCCAGGACCCTCGCACTGCGGAGTTCGGGTAGCAGCCCCAGGATCGGCGGCACCACGGGGTTTGGCTGGTGAGTCCCACAGTACACCACACTCGGGAGACTTGTTAGAGGGCTTAAAATCGTTTCTTACATCGTGGAGTTCGGGTTCGGATAGAGGGGCTTCCTTTAGCAAGGTTTGGTTGCCAGGGTCGTCGGGCCTGGGGACGGGGGAGAAAATAATCACAGGCAGGGAGCAGTACAGGCGAGGTTATGGCAACGTCATCGGCGTCGGTACCCACAGAAGTAGTAGCTGAGAGGGACCTGTTATTGGGTGATATCCCGGTGCAGCAAAGCAGAATGTGCATGTGTCGTTTGCGGTTCCGCTAGGGTGCCATCTCAAATTGGAGGTTAAGGAAAAACTGTGGAAAGGGGAATTTGTGGAGATCTTCTCCCTTCTCCCACTAGAGGAATACTTAGACGCGAAGGAGGACGATAAAAAGGATTCCAAGGGGGGGCGTGACCGGAAGCCGAGCCGGATGGTCGCAGGCTGAACGAGCTCCGACGGCCGGGCTCGTGAAAAGCTTGAAACACAGCGATAATAAAGCACCAACGAGCACCGAAATCCCCTTACCAGCATGTCCCAACACCGCACGAAAAAACCACCGGAGGCCAAGGACAAGGCGTCCTTTTTCACGGCCCGGGCACAGCAAAATAAAAACACGGACGCATCAGTCCAAGATGGCGCCGAGTCTGACACCGACGGCGAATCACTGGCGGGAATGGCGGTGGATAAGCCGACCCTGCAACATATGCTGGACTCCCTAGCACACAAAATGCAAGTAACAATACAAGCAGCAGTGGCAGAGCTACATAAAGATATAGCAGACATTGGCAACCGCACCTCCCATTTAGAAAATAAGATGGAGGAATTCACTGTGGCCCAAAACACATTAGCTGACAGGGTAGAGGAGCTGGAAAGCAAAATGGAACGCTGTGAGTACAAACTCATGGATATGGAGGACCGCTCACGCCGTAACAACCTGCGGTTGAGTGGCATTCCAGAAGCAATCACCCAAATCGAACTCACAGCTTACGTCACTGAATACTTTCACTCCATGCTGCCAGATATCCCAGCGGACATGCTGATCCTGGACAGGATCCACAGAACAGCGAGACCCGCACACCTACCCACCTCCAACCCACGAGATGTCTTGCTGCGAGTTCATTATTTCCATGTGAAAGAACAGATCCTCAAGGCCAACCGAACCGAATGGAGTGGGAACGAGAAATTCAAAGATGTCCTGATATTTGTGGACCTATCAGCGGAAACCCTGCGGAGAAGGAGATCGTACCGCAACATCACGGAGACTCTCCGGCATCACACCATTCAATACCGCTGGGGCTACCCAGTGAAACTCCTGATCCACAAAGGCGGCAAGATACACGTGATAGCCTCTAACCAAGAGGGTGTAGAGCTTCTGCAAACCTGGGGACTAACCGAGACCACGTCCGAAAAAGGACCATTACGAATCGACAAGATCCAAGGGGAATGGAAAACGCCCAAGCCAAGAAGGAACACCCAGCGACTGATGCGATGAACTTTATGGGACACTCTCCACAGGTTTGGTCTGCGGGGACAGGTCGACATGTAAAGACAGAGAGCGGGGTTTATACACCCAACAGCTAGGAGATGGGTGATGGGGGAATACGCCCATGGGCCCAGATAACAGGGTAACACCGGCGGGACAGACACTAGACAGATACTAAGCACACACGGTACTAAGTAAAGACGTACGCGATCAAGGCACAAGTCACGAGGACCTAAAGCGTATTCAGACGGACCCCCTTTCTCAGAGCCCAGATGAACCCCCCAACCACAGGCCCCACAACCACAAAGACAGCATGACGCAAGACAGACAAAACAAAATCTATTAAGGGCAAAAAAAAAAAAGTCAAAGTCACAAAGATAGTGGGAGACCGGAACAACAGACCCCCCCATAACCAGATGAACCATGAACACCACCCCACAGGGCAGCCCCCATGACCGCACTGAGACAGACTAAACCCTCTCCATAAGCACCGACCTTCTCCCCGTAGCCCCTGACCGACCTACAGTGCAAGCAGTTACCGAGCTCTGGCCACCGTTGCGAGACGGGATCAGACCTAGACCGGCCAGGCACGGCCACCTACCCCCTAACCAAGGAGGTTAGACCCATGACCTTCAAGTTGATACTTCTGTACGCCCCAATAGTGGCGTCCACATGTTGTTTTATGTTTATATTGACTATGTTATGGTTTATAATTGTATGTTTTTTAACTAAATGTGTCAGAATTGCACACCAACATCACATGGCAAGCCCTTTTAGCTGCGCACCCTGTGCACCCCAAGATATCCACAGAGCTCCAGAACAGCACACCCTACTCTTAACACCGTAGTATGAAGATATACACACACAACGTTAGGGGCCTGAACACCCCACACAAGAGACACATTCTACTCAAAGATCTAAAAAACGCCCAAGCAGACATAATTTGCCTGCAAGAAACACACTTCCAATCCACCACTAACCCAGTCCTGAGCAAAGCAATATACCCGCACCAATATCACGCCACAGCGCCCACAAAACGTAAAGGCGTCTCCATCCTAATCAGCCGACACCTTGCATTTGAGGAAATAATGGTCACAAAAGATCCACGCGGGAGATACCTTATACTGATCTGCACCATTAATAGCTCCACATACACGATAGTCAATACGTACATGCCGAACGCAAACCAATGCGGATACCTCCACAACCTCTTGAGGCTCATAACCTCAACGCAAACGGGCACAACGATCATTTGCGGAGATTTTAATCAGATCCAAGACCCCGCGCTAGACTCAACAGCGAAGCATACACCTCACAGGCACAAGGTCCTCCACAGGCAATGTAAGTCCCTAACCAAGCTCCTACAGTCACACGGCTTATACGACGCATGGCGCACACTGCACCCAACCGAGAGGGAATTCACACACTTCTCCCAGGTACACAACACCTACTCAAGAATCGATGGCTTCCTCTTGCAAAGCGCACATCTGAACCGTGCGGTAGCGTGTGAGATAGGTACCTCTACCTGGTCAGATCACAACCCAGTGGAACTCACACTAGCAGACCACTACAATTACAAAAACAGAGGCCCTTGGAGGCTCAACGAGCAACTTCTTACTGATCACCAATTCACCCAAACACTACGACAAGACATGCAGACATACTTTCAAACCAATGACACCCCAGACATCACCTCGCTCACCCTTTGGATGGCCCATAAACCAGTCATCAGGGGCATATTTATAAGACGGGCAGCCCACCTCAAAAAACAACAACAACACGCACACATTCAGAACCTAAAAAGACTACAAGACCTACACAGGACAAACCAAATGGCTCCCTCCCAGGCCACACAGGAAGAGATCGCTGTCCTGCAAAGACAAATCCACACTACCAATTTCCAAAAGGCAAGCTATGCACTGAAGCGACTCAAAGCGACCACATTTGTCCTGGGTAACAGAGCCAGCAAAACTCTGGCCCAAAGACTCAGGGACAAGCAAGCCCAAACCAGAATCCCATACTTACTCTCTCCCCAGGGACAGAAACTGCCCCAACCCACTCAAATCTGCAAGGAATTTGCAACGTACTATAGCTCCTTATATAACTTAAAGGACAACCCACAAGTACCTCAGCCAACCCCTCGCACCATCTCGGAGTACCTCGACAAAATTGACATGCCCAGACTCCAAGCACACCAAGTAGCCGATCTCGCGGCCCCCATTACCACCCTAGAAGTGACACAGACCATTGATTCTATGCCAAAAGGCAAAGCCCCAGGCCCTGATGGCCTCACCAATCTGTACTATACCACTTTTAAGGACATATTAACCCCCTACATCACACAAGCCCTCAACCTAGCCACGCAACAGGGAACCCTACCGCCCGAATTCCTAGCAGCACACATTATAACCCTACCCAAACCGGGTAAACCACCAACGATCTGCCCAAATTTTAGACCTATCTCCCTGCTAAATGCCGACGCCAAGCTATATGCTAAAATATATGCGGCTAGGCTCAAAACATTCCTGCCCAGTTTGATCTCAACAGACCAAGTAGGATTCGTGGCAGGCAGACAAGGCCCAGACAACTCCCGGAAAGTATTGGACATACTTCACTACCTTAACCGCTCCACACTACAGAGCACGCTCCTCTCCCTAGACGCTGAGAAGGCATTTGACCGTCTCAATTGGCAATTCCTACATGAGGTGATGTCGAGATACGGGTTCCCACCGGACTTCCAAAACATGATAAGAGCTCTGTACAGCACCCCAACGGCCACGGTTCTCAATTCAGGGTTCAGTTCTGCCCCCTTTATAATAACCAACGGCACCAGGCAAGGCTGCCCATTATCCCCCTTGCTCTACGTGCTAGCGTTGGAACCGCTAGCGATAGCCATCAGAAATAACCAAAACATCAAAGGGGTAACAATAGGCGACAGGGACTATACACTGAACCTTTTTGCGGACGACATACTCCTCACGATAACCAACCCGACAATCTCACTCCCCAACCTCCACAAAGAAATAACAGAATACAGCACGCACTCATATTACCAGCTGAACCTAACCAAAACACAGGCCATGTGCATAAACATGTCCAAATCGGAGGAGGAACGTTTCAAACACAACTTCAACTATGACTGGAGGACCGACTACTTGACATTCTTAGGCATTAAGCTAACAAAACACCACTCAGGCTTATTTGCAGCCAACTATATCAAGCTCCTCAAAGAAGTGGAGCAAACGCTACACTCATGGCAAAACAAGTTCCTTTCATGGCTAGGCCGCATTGCGGCCATCAAAATGACGGTATTACCGAAAATCCTCTATATGTTCCGCTCCCTACAAATCCCCATAGAACAGACGTACATCCAAAGACTACAATCGCTCCTGATTAAATTTAGCTGGGGAGGAAAACGCCCCAGAGTCCCTCGAGCTTTATTAATGAGACACCCGGAAAAGGGAGGTCTGGGATTCCCTGACCTTAGGGCATACTACCATGCAACACACATCGCCAACATGCTCCAAATGCACTCCACCACTTACACCCCCCAGTGGATCTCCATCGAAGCTAGCTGCGGAGGACAAACAGACCTAGCAGCTGCTATGTGGATGCCTAAGACACTACGCAATGTCCCCCGAGACACTCTACCCACCATGAAACTCCTCTACAACATATGGGACAACCACAGGGTTGCATTCTGTTCAGCCACACCGTGGTCGATGGCAACACCACTAAAAACAATTGCACTCCACAACAACACGTTCCCTTACAAATCATGGCAAGCCCACAACATCACACACCTACACCAAATTTGCACCGAAAATGGCCCGCTCCCGTTCTTAACACTGCAGACCAAATACAATATCTCAGCCAACCTGACATTCTCACACTGGCAACTGAAAACACTCCTAGACAATAATACGGGCAAGGAACCACCACCCCAATTAGCTCCCAACCTCACTCCATTCGAAAAAATGTGCCTACACCTCACCCCCACCCAAAAAACATTATCAGTGTGCTACAGACACATAAACGCACATAAGCCAGATCCGGAGTGGCAATTTCAAAAAGATTGGCACAGAGATATCAATAGAACCCTCACACCAGACGACTGGAACCACATATATGCTAACCACAGGGGACTCACATCGTGCGCCTCGCACCTGGAAGCCTCACACAAACTAATATATAGGTGGTACCTGGTACCTACGAAACTTAAGAGAATCTACCCTAACATGAGTGACAAATGCTGGAGATGTCTGACCCAAACAGGGTCCATGCTACACATTTGGTGGTCATGTACCCAGGTCCAACCATACTGGTCACGAATAGCAGAGATAATAAGAGGGGCCACAGGTTGTATCCTTGAACATAACGCTGAAACATTTTTGCTCAAACTTCTGCCTGCCAACATACCCCACAGCATAACTAAATTGATGTTCCTCATGCTCACCTCAGCGTCCACCTTACTGGCAAAACACTGGAAAACCCCCCAGATCCCCTCCATGGCGGAGGTGACAGCAATGGTCACTACCACCCTGGACTATGAGGTGATATTGTGGAACCAAACTAAAACAGGCAAAGGGAGCGATACAGCGAGAAAGATGTGGACCACATACATAGATAAAAGAACCCTCCAAGCTGCAGCTAGGGGCACCGCCAACACTGATACAACTACGTAAGAACAGAACCTCGATGGTTCATAGCAGCCACACATGACACATTAGTTATCCCAGTTATCCTTTCCCCCCCTGTTACACCCCGTCTTTCCCCTCCTCCTCCTATACCTGGCCCCGTTCAGGGGTACACACCCGAGGAACAACCTCAGATAGTCTGAGAAGGCAAAAAAAAAAAAAATCATATACCATAGACGACCAGATAGGTCGGCCAGCAGCGACCGAATTAGCCCGCAAGGGAAAGATGGCCAGACAACTCATAGCCCTCCACAACGGAGACCTTTTTCCCCTCGAACGGGCATACTATTTGTATCTGTGTCTCTTTTGAGGGGACAAGCACATCCTGCTCACCACCATGGGAAGACCCACATGTAGGGACAATAAGTACCACCCCTCATCTCACAGAGGACGCGCAGGGCAGGGTATAATAATTCGCTCAACCCACTGTACAACCCATATGTAAACGTCTGGAAGCACAATCAGTACTACACAATGTAAGCACATAGAACTGTCAGGAATTGTACGAATGCTAACAAATGGTATGATCGACTGTAATGTCAATCCTAACAGGTTTTTTTAACAGGTTTTTTTTGCAACCCCCTGAACCCCCCCACCCCTTTTTCCTTTCTGTACCCCTCTGAACCATTATCTTCCGACAAAAATAAAAATTGTCAAATTGAAAAAAAAAAAAAAAGGATTCCAAGAAGGAAGAAGAAGAAAAATGGCGGCGGTATAGAAAAATCCCAAAAACTTTCGGGAATTGGCTGCGAGCCTTTTGCATCATGGAGAGTGTCCTGGGTGAGAAGGCACCTGAGAAATGCTCTCAGCTATTCTGTTACCTGGACGGTGTGTGGGAGTCATATCGCACTTATGGGGGACTGGCCTGGTGGCAGTATGATGAACAGTTCCGTCAGAGGTTATTGGCTAATCTGGGAATGCGGTGAGACCAGATGGACCTGCCATTATGGATGAAGCTGATGATGGCGCAGAAGGCAGCTCCCTTTCAGGGGGGGGCGGCGCCGGTCCCTCTTCCACCTTGTCGGCTGCTCAACGGAAGGGATTCTGCTGGCTCTTTAATGAAGGCCAATGTAAGTGGGGCTCCGCATGCCGTTTTAGGCATGAATGCTCCGGATGCGGTGGGGGGCATGGTTACAACCGGTGTTTTAAGCGGGGTAAGCCCGCGGCAACAGGAAACGCCGGCGGTGCGTCAGCACCATCCGCTTCCTCTGGGGTGCTCGCCAGTGAAGGTAGACGCGATGCTCCCATGGCTAAGCAGGTACGGTAATCGGGAGGATGCCCGATTATTGCTAGAAGGGTTCATGAAGGGTTTTTGTCATACCATTCCAGAAACGGGTGGTGGTTCCTCGTTTCCGTAACCTGCGCTCTGTGGGCGAACACCATGACGTAGTATGGGAGAAATTGCTTCATGAGGTTCACCTGGGGCGGATGCCGGGGCCGTATGGGGAGCCGCCTCTGCCAGATCTTAGGGTTTCTCCTTTAGGTGTGGTGCCCAAGAAGGAGACGGGGAAATTTCACCTTATCCACCACTTGTCGTACCCGAAAGGTTCATCAGTCAATGATGACATTGACGGGGCTCTTTGTTCTGTTTCTTATGCATCATTTGACCAAGCGGTCGAGCTGGTAAAGGAAGCAGGACGGGGAGCGTTGTTGGCAAAGGCGGATATAGAAGCGGCTTTTCGCCTTCTACCCATCCACCCGAGATGTCACCATTTATTAGGCTGTTATATTGATGGAAATTATTTTGTAGATCTTTGTTTGCCCATGGGATGTTCCATTTCATGTGCTTACTTTGAGAAATTTAGTACCTTCCTGGAATGGGTGGTGAGGGTGGAAGCGGGCACCAAGTTTGTGGTCCATTATCTGGACGATTTCTTGTGTGTCGGGCCGGCCGGCTCCGATGCTTGTCGCTTCGGGTTAAGGTGTCTCGAATGGGTGACTCATGTTTTTGGGGTACCTCTGGCTCGCGACAAGACCGTAGGGCCTATTACATGCCTTAGATTTCTGGGCCTTGAAATAGATACGGTTGCCGGGGAAGGCAGGTTACCACTGGATATGCTGGAGTCCCTCCGTGGTGCCATTTTGTTGTGTCGCCTTTTTTGCGCAGGGCAAAAAAGGCGACACTACGGACCGTGCAGTCCTTACTGGGGCGGTTGAATTTTGCATGTCGCATTATTCCGGTGGGAAGGGTATTCAAACGGTTCCTAGCTAAGGCGACTGCGGGAGTACGGTCCCCTCATCACTTTATCAGGGTCACAGCCCCGATGAGGGAGGATTTGGGGGTATGGGAGAGCTTCCTGAAGGACTTCAATGGTCGGGTCTTCTTTAAGGATAAAAGTATTGAATCGCCCGAGTTGGAACTTTTTACCGACGCATCAGGAAGTGTGGGTTTTGGTGCTTACTTTGCGGGTCATTGGTGTGCGGAGAAGTGGCCCGAACATTGGGCAGCCAGCCCACTTATTCGGAACTTGGCCTTCCTCGAGTTATTCCCATTAGTAGTAGCGCTCTCATTGTGGGGCCAAGTCTTTCGCGATAGGAGAGTGATCTTCTTTACGGACAATATGGCCGTAGTGGAGGCGGTGAATAATCTTTCGGCTTCATCGGTCCCAGTTGTTCGACTCCTTCGTCGGTTTGTTTTGTATTGCATGCAGTTGAATATTGTTTTTCGTGCACGTCATGTACCGGGATTCTTGAACGTAATTGCTGATTTGCTTTCTCGCTTTCAGTGGGAAAAATTTTGTTTGGAGCCTCCAAATGCACAAATGGAGGGTCTGTCATGTCCGGATCACATGTGGCGGCTCGGGACCTCTTGCTTGGAGGACTGATCAGGGATTCGTTGGCTCCGGGCACGTGGGCGGCGTATATTAAAGTATGGAAAAGTTGGGAAGAAGCTTTGGGCTGTACGGGGGATCAGGTCTCCGCAGAGGTACGTCTCGATACGCTATTATGGTTGCTTTGCCGCTTTGAAGCGGCAGGGGCTTCTCCGGCGGTGGTCGGCCGGAACCTTGCAGCGTTGGCTTTCCTCTTCAAGCTCAATGGGTGGGAGGATTCGACGAAGTCCTTTATAGTACGGCAGGCAGTGAAGGGTTATCGTAAGGGTAAGTTGGAACCTGACACTAGGAGACCTGTGTCTTTTGCCTTGCTTCAACAACTGTTGGGAGTCCTGCCAGGTCTATGTTTCTCCTCGTTCGAGGTCTTGTTATTTACGGCTGCTTTTTTCGGGGCTTTTCGGGTGAGTGAAATTGTAAGTGGCAGCAGAGTTAGGCAAGGTGGTCTTCAGTTCGCAGACGTGGAATTGGGGGTAGAGCAGGTAGCCATTCGGTTACAGTGCTCGAAGACAGATGTCTTTGGGAAAGGTTGTACAGTTAAATTATTTTCACTACCTCAGGTGGCGGTTTGCCGGTGAGCAGTGCTCGCCGATATATGGAGATCTGTCCAAAGGGTCAGGGTTTGTTCTTTCGGCATGCGGATGGTTCGGCGATGTCTAAGTTTCAGTTTGCTAGGATCTTTAATCTGAGTTTGGAACGCCTGGGTCTGGATCCCACGCAGTTTGGCACCCACTCGTTTAGGATTGGGGCTGCCACGGAGGCGGCAAAGTTGGGTCTAGGTGATGAATTAGTTAAAAAGATTGGGAGATGGGAATCGATCAGGTTCCGCTCTTATGTCCGGCCTGATCGGTTAGTGTAAATCAGGTTTGATGTTATGGGGTACACAATACTATGGCCCGGTCTTGATGTATAGTTATGTTAAATGGGGGGATGTCTTCCTAATCGTTGTTGACAATGACCTTTTAAATTAATTTTTTTATTATATATATATTTAATAAAGCCGTGGAATATTTTGCCAAAAATTCATGTGTCTGTAATTCTTGAATGTCTCTAATTGGGTTATAACAGGAATAGGCTAAAAGGACGATGATACGCATGTCATGTAAATGCTGCTAGCCCAGACATGTTAGTCCAGCCTGCTAATATTTTACAATACACAAGCAAGTGTCATTACATAAATGTAAATATGCGTGACCGGTCTGCCTAATTAGCTTTAATGACATAGATGCCTAATCTGAAGTATACAAAGTGTTCTGCTCCCTGGAATTGTTCAAGACATTGCTGGATGTCTGTCATGTTAATTATCATTGTTGCTTGTAAGCTTGGTTTAAAAAGAAAAATGTGCATTCCTTTTTTGTGCCATACGACTGTTAAAAAGATCCTATAGTGCCAGGAAAACAAACACATTTTCCTGGCACTACAGGCTCTATGAGTGCCCTCTCCCTTTAGCCATTTCCTTAATCCAGTGCCGGGCTCTGTCGGAACTGGTGACCTCTCCTCCCCCGCTGTAGTCAGCTCCCGAGTGGAGCCGAATGCGCACGAGCGGCCAGAGGCACACGCATTCAAACCCACCCATAGGAAAGCATTACTATGGGAATCTTTTTTGACACTGACTCCGTGAGGACGTCCAACATCAAATAAGTATGATTTACTCAATGTAAAACGCGGAAGCGCCTCTAGTGGCTGTCAGTGAGACAGCCACTAGAGGCTGCATTATCCCTGCAATGTAAACATAGCAGTTTCTCTGGAACTGCTAAGTTTTCAGCTGCATGGTTAAAACTTGGGGGACCTGGCACCCAGGCCACTTCAATGAGCTGAAGTCGTCTGGGTGCCTATAGGGGTCCTTTAATGATGAGCTGCTGGTACATGCTGTTGTGGCATTATCAGCTTGTATGTATCCTATAAGCACAACAAAAATAAAGAATATATAATTGTGTAGATATAATTATAAATAGTGTCCAATGTCATATGCTGGAATGTAGATTTCTAAAAATATACAGGTAATGTCTACTAACGGGCATTATGCCACATACAGAAAGTATAATACAGTAGGTATTGGTACAATTGTTACTATTTTTGATATCGTTGCAAGTGCAGCCTCCACACGACCCTGACTGTATATTCAGACTACTCAGAACCATCGGCATTGCTAGTGAGGGCTTTGGAGGCTGAAGTCCCAGATATGGGGTTCTTTAGCCCTGGATCTCTACAGGGGTTGGAGAGGGGGCAGAAGGATATGGTTGTATTTTTTTTTTTTTACTTTGTTAATTTTATATCAGTGAAGGCTGTAATATAAAAAGAAAGATCAGTTGCCCAGCGACGCTGTCAGGTGCCATAGTCTCTACAAGAGGAAGGGGTTGTGCCCCCCAGGTGACTCAACAGGGAGTGCAGCGGAACAAACCTGTATTGAACACACCTGTATTATTTAGGTAGAGAGACCTGGGCTATTTTTGCTATGTGTCCATTGAATTCCTGGAGAGTATCTACATCACTGTGTTCATGGGAAGACAGGACGGGACATAGATAGCG